ATCTTGGGATACCGACATTTCTGGAGCAACATGCTGCTTGGTAGCTTTGTTGAAAGGTTGTCGGTTCGCCATGTGGTGTCACGAGTTGCAGTTGCATGACTGCGAGGCGGCACATCGCACCGCTATGTACCTTTTTCCGCTTTCATACCAAACTCCATTAGAAAGACAGCTGCCACCACTCACACCGAGCTTAACTAAGGTAGCTAGATTACGTTCCTTCAGGTGTGCGAAAGCGCATTTGGCCGAAAGGAAAATATGGGAGGTATCAACAGTGGTTTGTTCTCGCTTATTCGCCCCGGTATGTGCGACCGCATGTGTACTGGCCTAGTGCTCCTGTCTAGATTGAAGATTAATCAGGCTCATCATCCAACGTCATTTACCATATCTGGGCGGTTGGCTTGCCGAATTACTTCCTCGTGATGCCAGCTGGGTCGTTCGGGATCCACCCGTTCCAACAAAAGTTTGAGCGCCAGTGTTCCAAGGTGCGTTGGCTTTTCGTCTGGCCAGCGTTCTTCTTATAAAAAGCCACCAATGTCCGTTTAAGGACACTGCAACGTGGCGGATGTGACTCGTCACTAGATAAAGTCACTGCCCCTTGCTTCGCCTCGCTGGAGCATTGCAATTCTTCAGCTGGACACTGAATTGCTGGGAGTTTTGGTCCCCTGTTTAACAGCCGCTAAACCAAAGGCGTATGAACAGAGCTATCGGTCATCGGATCCCATTGGGCGCGATTCCCTGAATTCGCCCCTCTGCTTTATGGGTCAGGTCCCTATGATCGAAGGCTCTGAGTGAGGTCCCTTAAGTCAACCTCCTTCCTCGACCTTGGCAACCGGGAAGCTGTATGCCCATACAATACATGAAACGATGAATTTACAACTCTGCTCAAGGTTCTCGCTCTGTGTACTTTTTCTCTCTTTGGCCGAGGTGCTGGCGGCCGGGCATGCCTAATCTCATTCTACCGCACCGCAACTATCTTTGTTCCACATTTATTCAACTCTACTGTTCTTGGTAACCGCGCTCCCATTTCGATCGCCAAAAGCGCACTGTAAATAATTACGGTGCTTCTGGCCTCCTTAATGTACCACTCAAAACTGATCGCACACAATCCAATTCCAACGGCAAGACTTTTATTGCATCCGTTCGCTCCTCAAGCTAACTACATTTAATGTTCGTACGTTTATGTAAGTTGCATCACAAGCTGCTCTTGCGCGCACTTTGGAAACCATCTCCATCGAAGTTTTCTGCCTAACCGAAACTCGTTTACATGACTTCAGCACAACTGCGACTGGTCTCACCTTCTTCAATTTCCGATTACACTTTCACCTTGCTCTTATCTGGCGATGCGACAACGACAGCCTCTGGCTGCGCCGGCGTAGGCGTTACGTTAACCGCGCGTGCTGAGGCAGCGCTCATTGACTGGTTCCCTGTCCACAGCCATGTTTGGGCAATCCGCTTGGAAAGCTCAGTACGATCTTCCAGCCACTGGACCTGTAGGCGCTGCTTATTCATTGTGGCGGCCTACGCTCCTACAGACTGCACCCCGGATGAAGTTCAAGACGCGTTCTACCGCCAACTCAGCAACCTCCTTCACAAAAATCGCCTCAGGAACATTGTAATGCAACGCTGGAGACCTAAACACGCAAGTCGGTAGACCAGAGGTTCATGAACGCGAACTTGTGAGTCAACAGAGCCACGCTACTCGCAGGACGGACAACAACGATCGGATCCTTCAAATGCGCGCCGACCACGGCTTGTTCCTTACGAACGCTAATTTCCGGCGTCCCTAGCGCCCTGCCGACCTCTGACGCCTGGTCAAGCTTGTACTCAGATTGACCCCATCGCTATTAGTTACCGTTGGTGAGGCTGCACAACGGACTGCAAGTAAATTTGGAACACTTACTGACATAAGATCGTGTGTACTAAGGTCGTTCTGCTCTTTGGAGGCATCCAACAGCGTCGCCAAGAACGGCTTGACATAGACAAGCTCGTCGTCCTAATTGTTCCCGGCGCATTTCTGAACACATTAGACTTCAAACTGCGTTCTCTATCCTCCGACACTGAACCACACTCAGCACAGATTCAAAGCACCTTACGAAAATTCCGTTCCTTGGTCAGTGACTTCATTAGACGAGCTGCTAATCATTGGAACTCCGCACGGTCTCCAGTTAATACAAATCGTCGAACGATTCCCACTGGATTTGAGTACAACACACTACGTTTAACCAAAGGTGCTGAGCTCAGACAGCTCCTCAAGAAGGATCGTGAGGTCTGGTGGACACAACGCGTCGTTGCGATGGAGCGGGCAGCCTCCTCAGGAACCCGCCGCGAACTCTTCCAACTCATTCGGTCCACGGGAGGCAGAAGGCCAGCATTGAGTAAGGTTTTGCTTGCAAATGACGGCGAACTAATTTGCGGTCGTTACCGTCATCTGGTACGCTGGGCAGCGCACTTTGAAGATCAGTTTGACTGGCCACCAGCACAACCGAGTCCATCATCCGGGATTCACACTGCTCCCTGGTGCGTGGATGTTTCTCCACTGACTGGGACTGAAGTTTCCCATAAGCTTAGCCTGTTAAACCTCCACAAGTCACCTTGACCAGATTAACTTCCTCCTGCACTCTTCAATTATGTGGCTCCTGCTCTCACCCGTGAATTGACATCCCTCTTTCATCACATGTGGACTACTGAAACCATCCCATCCTCCTGAAAATTAGCGGATGTTGTACCTGTCTACCAAAAAGGAGAATGGACAGTTTGCTCCAGTCATCGTGGGATCAGTCTCTTTGGTGTTGCATCCAAACTGCTCGCTGCTTTACTCTTACGGAGACTCAGTTGCGTACGAGAACAGCACATGCGTGAACAGCAAGCTGGATTTCGCCCGGGTCGCAATTGCGTCCATCACATCGTTACGATCCGCCAGATAATTGTACACCGCCATACCTTCAATCGACCAATTATAGTCATATTCTTGGACATTCGAGCCGCGTTTGACTCTGTTGACAGAATGGTTCTTTGGGACTGCTTACTGAGGAGGGGAGTCCGTGAGAAGTAAGTCAACATTTTCGCTGTCATTCGCCCCCAAACTATGGGCGGCGTGCGAATATACCGGCACTTTTCGCCCACCCCCTCCCCAGTATACTTAATGAAATTAGACAGGGTTGCCCAGTCTCTCTATTCTTGGTCAACTTCGCTATGGACCAGATCCTGGAAACTGCTATGGAAAACTCTGAGTTCTGCGGCGTTGAACTGCTCCCAAGTGACCGCCTTCGGGACTTAGAGTACGCAGATGACATCTCTGTGATTTTCGGGTCCTCCCAAACCTCCCAGAATGTGCTGCTCAGACTGGAGATGTCCGCCGCCTAAGTTGGGTTGAGCTTTTCCCCTTCAAAATGTAAGGTCCTGTTACAGGACTGTCTGAGTGCATCTCCTCTCACCCCTTTCGGATCATCCGCTGGAATTAGTCGACAAATTCATTTACCTTAGGAGTTGTCTTAGTATTACGGTTTGACGAATGAGGTCTCGTTTCATGCCTTCAAGGCTAGAGTAGCTTACGCTAACCTACATTGCCTGTGGCTTCGTCGTGACCTCAGTCTCGCTCTTAAGGGACGAGTCTACAGTGCTATAGTACGAGCGATTCAGCTGCATGGCTGTGAGAATTGGCTTGTTTGCAAAAGGGATGTTCAGCGGCTATCTGTCTTCGATCACTGCTGCCTGCGAAGCATTGTTGGTGTACGATGGCACTATCACATCAGTAATGAGGAAGTCCGTCGGCGAGTCCTCAAGTCTGACAAACTCGGCCGACCGATCGACTGCATCTTTTCACTGGGGAAGCTTCGCTGAATTGGGTATGTGGTTTGCGTGCCTGTCCAGCGGCTAGCACGACGTGCCCTATTTGTGTGTGCAGGCGTGGGATAGAAACGAGGACAAGGAGGCCAGTGCAAAACTTAGATACAAGGCGTTAGGGCGCACACTTTGAAGTTATCTGTTGTTGGTCGTTCCCGACTTTCGGGTTGAGGACCAATGGACCCCCAGCACACCTGGTTGTAAACAGTACTGGATATGGCCAAGAACCGTACGCACTTGCTGTGAGACTCTTCTTCTCTGACTGTCGCTTTCCATTTCAATCTATTTTTCCCCGTGTTGCAGCACTCAGCCAATTGTAATGTTATTAGTAAAATGTTGAATATATATATCTATATATCATATCTAGGCAGCAGGGACGCCACAGCAGTGTCCAAGTTGAGTGATATTCATGGAACTAATAACTACCTTATTTCCAACCCCCTGCTTAGGAGATCAAAGAATGAGTATCCTTTTTTCCTTAAAAGAATTAATAGGTCGGAGATGCATGTTTCCGCATTACGTTTGAGATCCATTCCGGTCACAATAGAGGTTCCCTGTAGTTCCCCTATACTCTAAGTTTTATCGCTAGATGCAGATCTGCCAACAATATCGGTGAGTTAAGGATGTTTGGACATTAAACGATTGAATTTGCGATTTATTTTTTCTATTGCGTTCCTATTTTACCTCCTATTCTATATTGAAAGACGGTCGTTTTCTGAATGTGTTTTGGGGATCCAGGTTCACTTGCTTCGTGTCGAGGTGTATCTCGCCCCAGCGTCTTATCGTCTTTTTTCCTTATGAGATTGATTTTCGCAGCACTTTTCGCCTACCTTGCTCACTGCAAGTCTCGGGATTTATTTTATAAAACTTATTATGCTTGATTATAACGCTAAACTGATTGTCCTGCTTTGCTCCGAGGCCTGCTAATCGAACGAATTTACGTGGCATTTTTGAACTTGCTTTTTATTTGTATTCGCAATAGTTGGTACTTTCTTTTCCTTCAGATGACCTCTTTGTTTTCACTCTTATTATCTTCCTTACAATACATTTTTTATATTTTTTTCGCTCCATCAGTTCTCCTCTGGTAGTGTGATACAATGAGTGATTTCTGCTTTTCAGAAGTTTGTCTTCATTTCCTGGTTTAACCAATTTTTTTACAGCAAAGCACTTGTCTTTAATCCAGAAATCCTTTCATGCCACACTTGGCCTCATTAATTTCTTATCACATCCATGACACAAGTCTGGATGGGTAAAAGCATTTACAACAACGACAATTCCATGAGCAACGACGGCTTGATAGCTAACTTCAAAATATTGATCATCGGGGACAGTGGTGTTGGAAAATCCAGGTATGCAAATTAACGCATTCGAATTACCTTCCTGTTTCATTTCTACATAGCTTGTTACTACGGTACATTAGCGACAGCTTTGAGAATCGATTACCCGCAACAATCGGTAACTATTTTTAAGCTAATGGTTGCAACTACCTCTGCTCATTTTAGGTGTTGATTACAGAGTCAAAGTAACCACACTTCCTGATGGCACAATGGTCAAGCTGTCTATTTGGGTAACTATCCACACTCGTTTGATTTAGCAATCGAGAAACTTTGACGTCTGTGGTACTTGGCTAAGTCATGTATGAGCCTCATCATTATCAACAGCAACAGCAACCTCATCATCATCAATGCACGTTAGCTGGAGGTGAGAAGCACACCTCAACTATTGTGCCGCAATACAGAAAATGGATTAAACAATACAGACTAAACAATCTATACAAAGTAACATAATGCTGAATAGCGCATTATACATAGGGTCTGAGCTCGTTGAAGGAGGAAGCTAAAGGAGTGGAGAGGCACAACACAAACGCCACTGAGGTTGGCACTTCGTCATGTCAGCTGGTATATCCAAATAGACGTGTTCATCGTCCTCCGATCAGCAGCCCGGTAGTTGGAAATCGCCAACGAACGCGAAGTTCGAAGTGAGGGACTTCTTTCCTCTTCACCAAGTCATCACTTGGCCTCCTCTCCTCTTCTTCCATCCAGACCCCAGTCGCGCAATGCACGATGCGGGTGTCGGTGTGCCGGCATACGCAACACGTGGCCCAGGTGCGTGATTTTGCGGTGCTGAGCAGTTCACTCGTTCTTCCTGCACCAAGTACACAACGCCGAACACATTCATTGCTTACGCGGTGCTCATGCAAGTCTAACCTGCGAAAGCAGCCATGGTCGAATGTAAATAGCCTCTTTATGTCTCTCGGCTTGCTGGACCAGGTTTCGCAACCGTACAGGATGGTTGAACCGCTGCATTGTAAACCCTGCTCCTTATATGAGTCAGCCGATTGCTCTTTCCTTATTGTTGCTGTAAGTATTTGTAATTGTCACGGGTAAACTTAGTTTTTACGTGGTGCGGTTGTTTATTTGCTTCTTTAACGCGTTGCGTTACACTGGACGATATTCTTGGGTGCCTTGTTAGCGCTTCCCTCCATCTTGGTCATTAGTCAAAGGTCAGATGAATTCATCCTCCCTGCCATCCAGTTTCTGAGTTGGAAATGAAGTGGTATCCACCTCTTCAAAACTGGATCGTGGCCCTCTTCTCACTTTCTTAAAGCCAAGCTTTCCAGCCCAGGGCTTTGATTGAGGACCGTAATCTGCCATTTGATTTTAGCCTCCTGGTAGTTTCCAATCCAACGCACAACAATGAAACCGTATTCAACGTTCAGCCTCGACTGTTGTGTAGCTCCAAAAACGGCCACCTTATTTGCTGCATACTGTGCCGACCTTAGGAGTCGTTCAGAGATTCCGCTCTATGGGCAGCTGTATCGCCGTCTATGGAATTGACGATGATGTCGTGAACCGTATAGCAAAAGCTCAAGGGGCTCTTACCGACCTTCGCTATTTGTTGCACCTGTGCAATCTCACTCTTGCCCGGAAGGTGGATTCTGCAGTTCAGCTGTACGATTGTGAAATATGGTCCATTGGATGGCTAGACGTAAAGCGACTAGTTTCGTTCTCTCACCGTTAACTTCGCAGTTTAACTCATGGCTGGTCGGATCACCGCCTGAGTAGTTGTGTCCGGCTTCTTTGGTTCGCAAGGTGAGTAACCAAGGCGCTCAGTACCGTTATTTCATGCGCCAGAGTCCGATGACTAGACAATGTGCTACGCACGCCAGCACACCGACTCCCCGATTTGCGTTTGCGCGACCATGGTCTGGATGAAAGAAGAGCAAGATATGTGTCGACTGATGGTACTGGCGCTGGCGGATCGCGTTTCTAACGCACTCGAAGCATAAGCTCACAAAAACACTCGATGAATGAATTGATGTCAAGGAAAGTCCGCCATTTGAACTTCCATCAAAATTACGGTTTTAGAGAGCTTTACGAACAATCGATTGTTTTATTTAGTTGACAACGTTTCGCTTGTGGATCTCTTGACTCATATATCGGTTGTCACGATTGTGTACCTCACCTGCTATATAATGCCACATCAACTATGTACCAACTCACCTGTTCTGATGAAATGTTTGCGTCAAAAATGGAACCTTCTTAGATATATCAGCCGATTGTTAGTACATCTTTCTGAACCCATTACTACTCGGTCGTTTTCAAGTGTATTCCGAGAGTTCCATCAAAATCATCATGTTGTTAGTTGAGTGGTGCACGTCTGAGTTCACCGTGACCACTTGCCAACTATTTTTATATTCACTTGACACGTTTTTGTTTGACCATATGATACATCACAATTTGTGCGGCTTAAACGAACCAACACTTCTGGCTGCAGCGACCCACTGTCAGCGTTGCTAGTCACGGCCCCGACAGGGCACAGTCTCAATAAAAATCCGTTCTACTGATGATTTTGAACCGTTATACCAATTTTCACTTTGTGTGGTTCGTATGTAAAGGTTGCCGGTTCCTTAATTCCGTCGCCATCTTTTCAAATACTCGCCTTCACCTTATTCCTGAGGCTCGTTAGTCCTGACATGTTTTCATCCCGACATAGGATACTCCATCCACACACCCTCATTTAACCGGTTTCTTGTACACTACAACGAACCAGGGGGTCCATTATTGTATTCATTCTTGACATGAAGGTTGCCGCTGATTTGACTCATGACGCCTGTTTGTGGCGATCCCGTTGAAGTACGTGCCAGTAGCATTTCTCCAAACTCTGGGATCCTAATTCCCCTGTCCCTTGGGTTGTGCAGATGTTAAGTAAACATATTAACTTCGCGAACACTAGTTGGATGCTTTGTTACTATCCTATTCCTCTTCCATTTTTTCAAGGTGACTGTGGGTGGCCCTATTCCGGCTTCACAGTGTGGGGCAGACGTTATGTGCAAAACCCCGTGACAGTGTGAGATTGCGCGGACAGTCTGGCTCGCTATGTTTCGGATCCAAACTGTGTAAACGCCTCTGAGCAGACTGATAGGCAGAACTGCACGCTCCGACAGTTGTTATGCCCCTTCGTAATTCAACGCACATAGTGGGTCGATACACTACCGTTCTCATTACCATTGATTGACCGCTGCGGGTTGCCTATTGGTTCACTTACCTTCCTCATCGCTCCTATATCGGTGAGCACTCGCAGAAAGAGTCACCGTGCTCAAAAGTAAGGCTTACGCAAAATTTTGTCTTATCTCGTTTCACCCTTGGAGACAGCTAAGTTTTACCACGTCAATAGAAGGTGCGCGTGATATGCTGCAACGTGTTCACTGTTGCGCAATAAATCAGGTACAATGCCGCCTGTTCTTGAAGCTGATATTGAATCCGACCGCTGAACGAACCATGGTCTAGAGGACACTTTAGGCGCATCATTCTGTGCCTGTAAAGTCGATGGCGATTTCTTGCCGGTTAACTCTTTGGTAGCGAGACACAAAAGGATAAGATAAACAAAGGAAGAAGAACTGGCACTGTTGAGTGCGTTCAGTGGGCACATGGCATTTTGACTGCCCGTTCCGAGCGAAGGTTTTTGCTCTACGGTTCTCATCCAGGGCTCTCGACTCAGTAGGCTGGTCAACAGGGCAGCAAGATAACTGAAGGTTGACATGCAGGACTACACCCGGAGTCTTTGACCTTGTATTGTTTACGTGACGAATGGTCGTCTGTGTATACAGACCTATCATGATTCTTACAGGAGCACCCACCAGTCATCGGGCTCCATACTCTTTTTCGTCTATTTCTAGTCAAGTTCTATTGATTGTCTCTCCCTACACTTCGAACTTGCGATTGCACATTGAATTTCCTCTCTATTTGCTTTGGGAACCTTCTCACCGCACTCGATGCCAATCGCAAACAGCTTTTCACGTCCAAACCCTTCGGACTACTGGTACCTCAGGTTGACGATTACTTTATTCATCTTTTCTCCGATCTGGGCAGTTCGATCGCAGATGTTTCATCACCATTCAGTGTGACTTCACTAGTGCAGTGTTGACCGTAGATCAGTCGCGAAAAACCCTACCAGGCAAATCCATTCTTCACTTTGTTTCTGGTTTCCGCGATATCGTTTCTGTAAATATATGGACCACTTGAGATCCACTCAGCTCGTTATTCTGAACACTAGGATCTAACTTGTGTAGATAGTTCCGGACGTACTGGTTTACTCTGCGGATTTCATTTCCAAGGTAACAAACCAGAAATGATTGTACTGAAGGATGGAAAATGTGTTTCTGTAGTACTATTTAAAAGTGCGCATTCATCACTTTAAGCTACTAGTCGTATCATGAAAGCCACAGTGGTGAGCTACGTCAGTGGGTTACTTGAGAACCGCAGTGAAACAGTCGGCGATAAAAGCAACCTGAAGTGCTCGTTAAAAACATGCCTCGATCCACCATGATATACTATATAAAGAAATTCCATTGAATGCTTTGTACCACAATTTGTTCCAATCCTGTGGGCACAAGACACAAATCTTAAAATGCGGGCATGTTCATGTGAACGTGGATAGCAGATTGATTTTCCAGCATGCGAATTTTTTTTATCCACAACTTGAATATCTGTATTGCGGTTTCATTTTGTCACCTCTAACTGTTTTTCCTCCTTTTCTTGACGCTGTCCATTCTGATTATAGTTCTGGTGTTGGTAATCGATGCAACACTCTTGTTTTGGCCCAACAACTGTGGCCACATCGATCGCGCATGAAACAACTTTGGACACTTTTGCATACCCCAAGCTTGAGGACAGTTGACCCGAGTCCTTTCTTGTTTTCATGAATAAAACTGTCAGTCTTTTTGTTTGGCGTTGATGTGCGCACGTTAGCAGAACCTAATCGTTTTTTGGTTAAAGTAACACTTATGATATCGCACTTCCACAATTTTGTTTTTATACTTTTCAGCAAGTTTAGTTTCACGTGTGGATGTTAAATTCAATTCCATTTGAGTATTTCTCACTGCAAGTCTCCGTCTGTTCTGTTGAAAATGTATATAACCATAGGATTGCAATAGAATATCTTGTTTGAGCGATCATTTGTTTTAAAACTATCTAAAATCTCTTCGAATCCTACGTTTTTCACCATATATATTAGTTGTGTCTCCGGCCTAATGAGGCGCATAAACATCTCCGAATAAAATCCATCCTAAATTTCAAGTGGCCGTTTCCTGTTTCGTTTCCTTTTCTTTAGGATACCGCTGGACAGGAGCGCTTCCGAACGTTGACTCCAAATTTTTATCGCGGCGCTCATGGCGCTGTGATCGGTAGGTTCCATGACGTACCCCGCCCTTATAAATCCTGTCCATCTGTACTGTGGCTCAATAGCTGAGGTGTTTCTCACCTTTAGCCAACGCGCAGTGATGATGATCCTGCTGACCTTAGATTTAGTGCATTTCAGTTGTAAGACCCAGTCGGAATATACGGGTCGTCATCTGAAACGCTTATCGGTATCTCCGACCAAATGAGCAACCAGACCCAAGTTTTTCCGCAATGCGAAGAGCACTTCTCTTGATGTTGAACTGATTGCGCCCCTGTCCATCTTATTTTAGTCGCCTTACCCTCTAATAGCTAAACATTGTGGATATTTGAGCGTCGAAACTTCTTGTAGCCGGTAGCCGAGTGGATAAGGAAGTTCGATGTTTCGCAGTTGCAGATAACACCATGACGAATCGTTCTTACGACATACCGGTGTGCTGTGTATGTTTATAACCGCGTAACGGTCACGGCATTTCGATATGCTTTTTGAAAATGCTGTTCCTTTGAGTTCTCCACGAGTTACTTTCACTTGAAACCCCGAACCGCTGCTTAATATTTGTTGAATGCTTCTCATTTGTCAGTCTTGGTTTAGCTGCTACAATTCATACTGGTTGATTTTCTACCGTTATCGTGGTGATTTCGCTCCAACTTGCATCTCATTGTTCGGCAGCACAATTAACACGAATCTCGACTAGTGATCAGTTTCCATCCAAATATAGGCAGTTCGATTGCGTTTATACATTGTCTGTTGCAATCTCGAGACCTGATACACCGTTGCTTTTATAGCTACTTTGTTGGTCAGTACGGGTTACGAAATCTCGCTGCGTCTTCGGCCAGCCACTCGATTCTTCTTTGAGTTTCGCAGTAATCCCCACCGTATCCCCTTGCAAATGAGCTTATGCAGTATTGATGTAGTTTGTTGTGTCTACATGCGTGCTAACACTACATATAGCGCTAGGGAGGCCCAGTATATCTTCACCTTTTATGGCTACGGTGTAGCATATTCCATATGTAGCGGCAGCATCGGGGATATCAAAGGTTTGGCGTGTTACCGGAAAGTAGACTACGCTAGGTGAGACTTCTGATCCCTCTTAGCAAAACCAAGGGCGGTATTGGCAAGACCTTTGGATATATAAATGCTTCAATTTCAAATGCGCGTTACACTACCCGAGGATTTGGCGACAAACCTCATTACACCAACGAATGTGACCTTTGACGTTAGCTTTGGAAAAATCCGGAAGCCTAGCTTCCTCAGCAGTTATGAGACCTCTGTTATACGGAAACGAACTCTTCACGTTCTCAGGCTTCTGGAAGTAATTAGTATCGTTCGAATGCGGCTGCCATTTACGTACATAGCAGACGATAGTGACCAAGCCCACCTTGGTATCTTGGAGCACACCAACTCTCCACCAACTGATCTCACATGACCATTCTTTTTACCCTTATTCGTCGCGCTCTTTGATACTTCTGTCTGGACTTATTAAGGACATTTCTTAGTTCACCTTTCAGTGGGATCCATACCACTTGTATACCCAGCTTTCTCACATGGTTCGCTGTGCGCAGTGTTCTAGGTTCTCTTGTTTAGTTTTATGACCTCATTTTCATCCTAACATCCACCAATATTGCCTGATGCTACCGCTCTTTCTCCATCAGTTTTTGACATTTCCAATCGCGAGAGTTTCGACCGACTCATTAATTGGATGGAAGAATTGAAAATGTTCTCGAACCACCAAGATATGGTGTGTCTTCTCGTTGGGAACAAAATTGATCACGTGAGTTGCTTTCGTCACTTGCCATCTTTACTTGAGCGAACTTCGCCACCGTTTTATCCACAAATCTTGTAAACAATCGACAAGTGTTTCGGTTGCACTGTCGGTGTCTTTGAGACGGTTGTGTTCTAATTCAAATAATCCTGGACGCCCTTAAACTTTTATGTTTGCTTTCTACTTCTGCGTGTGTAATGACGAACCGTATGATTATATTATTTCCATTTGATCAGATGCTGCAACCAGGGTTTCCTCGTATATCAGAATCACTTGACGGTGCACGTTTTTGGATTGCTTTTGGTTCTTTCCTTCTTTCACCTTCTGTTTATGCTACCGTATTCCGACGCATAACTATCCATTATCACTTGCACTCACCCTGGCAATGGCTGGATCGTCGCCTGTTCCATACTGGATGCATGAAATCACTCTTTCAGCCTAGCACCGTCAGGAACATGGTGTACCCGCCACCTCCAGTAACGACCAGGTGTCTCATGGAGCTAGTTTGAAGGAGCTGGTGGGTAATGGACAGGTAGGTACACTGTCAACATTCATATCAAACGCAGCCCGACCGGGGATATCAATCAGTGGCACTTGAGATGCAAGAAACTCAACACGCAGGCACACATACAGACTAATTGCGGCGATAATATCGCACACGTTCCACATCAACCGCATTATTGTCCTCGGTTAGTAAGTGGAATCGGAAGCTGTGCACTTAGCAAATGATGTGCTGGTGCTTCCTTATTCGGCCTATTCGTCGCCTTTTCGATATTGGCCCCTCTTGACCACACTGCTGGCTTATCAAACCGGTTTGGCTGAGGCACTCAAGACTGCATGTGCTACAGCACCATACGCTGAACGTCGATGGGAGAAATCCCATCGCTTCCGTAACCGGCGCTTTTCTACCTGACGCAGCAATACTTTCTCATGCGGCTGCGCAACCGCATTCTTAGTGTGCTCACAACATTGGCTGATCCACTGCCGTCGTTTCTCAAAACCGAATTCAACATTAGTCCGTGATAAACTCATCTGGATCATGTCATGGTAACGCAACGTCGGTTTACCGACGTTCCGCTTCCTTGCACTACGTTATCCATATAGCAACTGTGTCTGTAGCCTCGTCGAGCGCATAGGGCTGACATGCCCGAGCCACCTTGTGCACCGCAGCAAAAGTACACAATCCACCCCATACATGCCACTTCAACCGAGCACTTCCGTGTCTGCAATTCTCTCACATCAACGAATGCGTAGTATCCGACAAGGGAACTGTTGATGAAATCGCTTCAACTATCGGACGTCCTTTCGGTACAGCGTCTCTTTCGCTGCTGCACAGGAGTACTGACGGCATCGTCGACCGCTACACCGACAACTTTGTCTTAACTGCAAGCTGGCGTTTCTTCCCCACCAGATGTTCCAGCTTTCCAAATGCAGTATCCGCGTTCAATGTGCGAAAGCGCAGCTCGCTCGTCATATGTAGGTCGGTGGAACGTACGCTTTCTAGGCAGCAAAATTTCTATGTGGTCCCGAAAACGTCATCACCAATCTAGATCTGCGGCAAACCCACGGATTTCATTCCTGCCGACAGCTGAAAAAGACAGTTTTGCTTGTTCGGTGATGAGTTTGAACTTGGCTGCCGTAAACGCGAGAACCTCGTGTGTTAATACCACGATAATTCGTGCAACATTGCTTGCTCCCTTTGTCCTTCTATAGTAATACTACAAAGACATCGATCGGCACCTGTTCTTTAAACCACACGCTTTCCATTACATGGTGCATCGCATGTAGCAGCGCGGCTCCGCCGTTTTTCAGAACTTCTAACGCTTTTATAGTTAACTAGTGTATGATGAAATAAAACGCAAATAATTTGCAACACCCACAGGATGGAAAATGCAGAACAAAATCAAAATATTGCGGCGTGGAACTTAAAGTGTCAATAGTCTCATCATCATCGACAGCAGTACATCAGCCATTTGCACTGATGCTTCGCTGCCATACAACCATGACGACCTATGAAATAAAAAGAATAAGAAGGGAGAGAAGGGGGACTTACCTGAAAATCTTAATGCCCTAAGCAAACCTTCAGGGTCAAGGCGCCTACACCTTGTGTGGACAACATACCGTCACAAACAGCTGGCTATCGTGCAAAGATAAGGCGGCATCGGCGAGACAGCTTCCTTGCGGCTTTCACTGCCCCGCGTCATAATCAACCATTACCCCGCAGATAACTCGGCACCAAGCACACTTTAAACAGGCAATCCGATTAGGAGACGGCAGCAGACGCGCCACTGGTGTCGGTTGCGGGCCATGTCCTGTAAGGTCTTGTGCCAAGCACAAGGCGAGTCAAGTGGACTCTAGCTCGGAAGGCGAGAGGCACCAACGACACCCAGTTTGGTCGTCAGTGACTTCATTTCCCGCTGATAAGTCAACTTCTGTCCACCTCGAGCCTTGCGCCACCATACAGCTGGCAGACTAAACAAGGCCATCCTAGGTAAGCGGTGACCAGGCATACGTAGCACGTGCCCGAGCCAACGCAACTTATTCAGTGCTATCTGTTGTTCTAGGGAGCTAGCATGATTGTCACCACCTAGTACTTGCCTACGCACATCATCGTTGCGGACACGTTGGTGCCATCCGACACCAGCAATACTTCGCAGACAACGATGATCAAAGACTTGAAGGCGCCTCAGATCTTCAGACCGAAGGGGCCAAGTCTCACTACCACAGAGCAGAACGGCCCTCACTGTGGCCTTGTATACACGGACTTTCAGACGGAGGGAAACTCCCTTCTGTCGCTAAAGATGCCGCAGGTTCAAGAAGGTAGCTCTGGCCTTTGCAGTACGTGAGCTGACGTCAGTTTCTATGCGCCCATCATTGCTGATGCAGCTGCCAAGATAAGTGAAATGATCAACCACCTCGAGTTCCTCGTTAGCAAGCGTCAAGAGGTCATCAAGTGGCTGGTGGTCCTGCAGCAACACTTTGCACTTTGAAAGTGCCAAGTGCATATCAAATAATGGGAACACTCTGGACAGGCTATTCAGGGTTGATTGTGCCGCCTCAACATTGTCGAAAAGCAAGACGATATCGTCCGCATAATCTAGGTCAACTAACCTTTCACCAGGCAGCACTTCAACGCCTACATCGTGGGATTCTGCAAGGGAACACTCCGTGATAGAATCCACAACGAAATTGAATAGGCATGGGGAAATCGGACAACCCTGACAAACGCCACTTGTGGTCGGAAAGCTATCCGATAGGACACCTTAGACCCTGACGCGACCTGTAGTGTTGGAGTATAGAGCACGAAGGATGTTCACATATTTCGTGAGAACACCTTTCCGCGCAGGTAATTCGTACAGAGTTGATCGATCGACTGAATTGAATGCAGTCTTGAAATCGAGGAACACAGCTATTGTCGGTCTGCGGTATGCGTGGCGCTGCTCTAGCACCTGCGACAAAATGAATATTTGATCTATACAGCCACGTCTTGGGCGGAAACCGGCCTACTCATCCTTAATCCGAGATTCCCGTTCCGCAGTGAGGCGACCAACGATAACCGAGGCCAATAATTTTGTCGCAACTGGTGTCAGGCTAATACCCCTGTGGTTCGCACAGTCTGTGCGACTGTCCTTCTTGTAGATTGCCACTATAATCGATTCGCTCCAATTAGCCGGGACACTCTTCTTTACAGTTACGTTCGAATAGGGAGGTCAATGCTTTGCAGAGGACCTCACCTCCATCCTTAAATAGTGCAGGTTGGAGGGAATCCGGGCCAGCGGCACGAAACGATTAATGGCTGTGATCGCGTTTCGGAGCTCGGTCTCCGACGGAGGCTCTAAACTAACCGTCCATGGCTCGTCCTGTATCACCTGAGTAGGAAGAGGTCCGGGAGCAGGAGGCCAGCTGAACTGAGCTTGAAAGTGTTCCGCCCAACGAGCTATACGGCGCTCCTTATTGTGTATCAGCGCACCCGTGCTGTCTCTGATTGTCTCAGTGACGCCAATTTTCTGGGACCAGTGGTGCGGATAAGCTGGAAGAGCTTGCGGTAATTGCCTACTGCTCCTGCCTCGTTCATTTCTTGTGCCCTACTGGTCCACCAGGCTTCCTTGTCAGCACGTAG